TTATGCATTTACAAATAAATATTCTCAGTCCTCTTAGATGAGATGTTTTCTCAGTGGCATGCAACAATAAAATAGACAATGTACACAATGCACAAAATGAAAATACCATATTTATATTGCCCATGAAGCAGGTAGTAGTAGTTTGGACCAACTAGGGTGCCTAGCAAAAACAGGTAAGTTTTTCAATATGTGTCCAGAGATGTAGATTGCTGGAGTATTGAAAAGGAAAAGCATTCCGCACGGCGGATGGTGCAAGGCTAAATGCCCGGCTCTAAATAACTGCAGGGTTTGATTCCTGCTCAAATATAAAACTCACTGGGTGACCTTGGGCAAGTTACATGTTCTCAGCTTCAGGGGAAAGTAATGGCAAACCTCCTCTGAACAAATCATGCCAAGAAACCCCATGATAGGTTTGCCTTAGGGTCACCAAAAGTTGGAAACGACTTGAAGGCACACATCACACACACAAACTCTTGTATTGTTTTAATCTGTTGTATGCTGCCCCGGTTGCTTTGCAGAGGGGAGGGTTAGAAATAAAATTTATTATTATTATTATTATTATTATTATTAAACTGCAGAAAGGACCTCAGGACAGAATATACTACACCTCTGGAAGGCTATTCCAGATGACCATAAAGACTAATGGGTCTACAGGGGAGAAAGTGGTCTCTTGGGTAATCAGGTCCCAATTGTTTAAGGCTTTGTGTTTGCGTGTGTTTGTGTGCCTTCAATTTGCCCATCAACTTATGGCAACCCCATGAACTTCATAGGGTTTTCTTAGGAAAGGAGTACTTAGAAATAGTTTGCCAGTTCCTTCTTATGAAATATAGCCTAGAAGTTCTGGTATTTGTTGGTGGTCTTCCATCCAAGTACTAACCAGGGCTGACCCGGTTTAGCTTCCCAGCCCAGACAGAATCTGGTGCTGTTGGGATATTAAAGCTTTAGATAACAACAAAATCTCAAATATTCCTGCTAGCAACTAGGCACCACAGTCAGCAGAATGGATTCAGTGGACACGTTCAGTGTTGATATATATCACTTCAGCTCCAGCCTTTCCAAAGCTTTGCAGAATGCCTACGGATTTTTTTATCCATGGATTCAACCATCCATGGCTTGAACATATTTTTTAAAAATATATAAATTCCAAACAACAAACCTTGATTTTGCCATTTGATATAAGGGACACCAACTTCTATGCCATTATATTTAATGGAACTTGAGCATCCATGGATTTTGGTATTCACAGGGGGTCCTGGAACCAAACCCCAGCGGATACCAAGGGCCCATTTAAAATGGCTTATAGACTAAAAGAGAAGGCATGGCAGAATAAAGCTAGAATCAAATGACGGACAAAATGCACCTTTAAAAACACACATACATAAAGGCTGAGATCCTACATTGGCATTTCATAGCTTAAATTGCCCCATGTGGAGTTTGCACAGATTTCATCATACAATCCTGGTGTTGAATGGCAAAGTTTTACCTCTGCATGCACAATGAATGACACAATGTACACAGTTCCACTTCTGCAGCATTCCACTCGGGACAAAATAGTCCATAGGTGAAGCTGTGCATGTTAGCAAGGAATTAGCAAGCATGGTATTGGGTAAGTGAGGAGCCAGCGTGGCATAGTGATTTGAGTGTTTGACTATGACCTAGAGACTAGGGTTCAAATCCCAGCTTGGCTGTGAAACCAATTGGGTGATCTTGGGCAAGTCACACTCTCTCAGCCTCAGAGGAAGGCAATGGCTCCTCTAAAGAAACTCGCCTAGAAAACTCTATGATTAGCCTTGGGGTCGCCATAACTCAAAAATGACTTGGAAGACACAACAAGAAGAACATACAACAACAAAGGAATTAGTGTTATATTTCGTAACTTGGTTGATTCATTTTTAAGCAAGCAAATAGTATAGCCATTATTTTCAATAGGGGACTAATAGTAGTGTAATTGTTTACGCCTTCTCCTGCAGTCAATGTTTATTCTTCAGTAAAATATTGTAAGAATATTGGTGAAACACGTTCAGTTATATCCTAGTGAATTCTACAAGTGACTTGCTTTACTGAAACAGAAGTCCTTCATTTTGAATTATTCCTTTTATAGTTACCCTTACTGTGTGAGACTGGTTTGCTTCCTATTTCAATAAACATGCCTCTGAACAGGTTATATAATTGCTTTAAACAAGAGAAGAAACAAAAATAATGTCATTGCTCTAGATATGATCTTTGAAAGATATTATTATGGCAGCTGTAGTAGTGTAGGAAGATTTGCATTTTATGACCTTGGGTGAGTCACACACTCTCAGCCCCAGAAAACCGCATGCTAGGTTCCCCTTAGGGCTGCCATAAATCAGAAATGACTTGAAGACAGGTGACAATTGGTTACTATAGAGGGAAGTATCTTTTCAAAATCTTTTCTGTTTTTTAAATATTGTTATGAAAGTTAAAATATGCTAGCTACATGGTTGCATCTGAAAGGATAATATAAGCAAGACACAAGCAGGCATTAAAGAATTTGTTTTCGTGAAGCAAGGATGTATTTGTATGGATGTAACTATTATTTACTATTTACCGGAAAACAAAGGCCAAATGTTAATGAAAAATAATTTTTTTTTAGAGAACAAGTGTCAAAACATATATGGAATGTGTCTCTATGAACTTATTTACCCGTTTTTCATTTACTTTGTATTGTTTGCCCAGGTTGCTATTGCTTGCATAGTCTATGCCAAAACTTTTGCTAGTTGGTTCTTTTCCATGTCCTTTAAAGAGAAAAGAGTTTGTAAAAACAGACGCCTGCCCTGCCTTGTGCACAGTCAGCCCTCCATATTCAAAGATTTCTTATCCCCGAATTCAAGCATCCGTGGCTTTCAAATATTTTGAAAAGACATCAATTCCAAAATGCACACTTGGATTTTGCCATTTTATACCAGGGACACCATTTTAATATGCCGTTGTATTTAATGGGACTTGAGCATCCACAGATTTTTGACATCCAAAATTGGATATCCAGCAGATACCATGGGCCCATTGTACTTTGCACATGCTTAGAAAACACTTTGCACATGCTTAGAAGGGATGTTATTCTCCATCAGGGATATGAGGTTGTGCAGCTTTTGGCTGCACAAAGAAAATATCCTTTGTTCAGGGACAAAACTTAAAATGATTTGCATGAAGTCCCAGGTTTAGTCTTTATGTAAGGCTGGAAAAAAGAATCCTACCATTAGGAAGCAACACTAGCCCTTGGCTATCTTGAACTCAATGCTTGTTGCAAAGAAGAGTAGTAGTAGTAGTAGTAGTAGTAGTTGTTATTGTGTGCCTTCAAGTCATTTCTGACTTATGGTGACCCTAAGGAAACCCTATCCTGGTTTTTTCTTGGCGAGATTTGTTCAGAGGATATTGCCGCTCCATAGTTTATAGTTTTAGAGCTCCTTGAGGCTAATTTGTTTTAACTGTTTATTTTAAAATGTCACGTTTTGCGATTTTTGATTGTCTGCCATAAGCAGGTTTTATATTGTTTTGATGATTAGGTAAAGCGCAGTGTAAAAATTATGACGCTATATATATAAACTATAAGAATAAGAATAGAAGGATTGCCGTTGCCTTGCCTTGAGGCTGAGAGTGTGTGACTTGCCCAAGTTCACCCAGTGGGTTTCAAGGCTGAGCCAGGACTCGAACCCTGGTCTCCAGGGTCATAGTCCAATGCACAAACCATTATGACACACTAGTTCTCAGGGGTGCCTCTACATTGTAGAAAGAATGCAGTTTGGCATCACTTTAAGTGTGTTGTGTGCTTTCAAGTTATTTGCAACTTTATGCTGACCCTAAGGCAAACCTATTGCAAGGTTTTCTTGGCAAGATTTGTTCAGAGGGGGTTGCCATTTCCATCCTCTGAGGCTGAGAGCATGTGACTTGCCCAAGTTCACCCAGTGGGTTTCATAGCTGAACCAGGATTTGAACCCTGGTCTCCGGAGTCATAGTCCAACACTCAAACCATTATGACATGCTATTTCTCAGGGGTGCATCTACACTGTAGAAACAATGCAGTTTGACATTATTATATTTGTATTTATATTATTTATATCCTGCTCTTTTCCCAGAACTGGGAACCACAACAATACAGTTAAAAATATTAAAAAGGGATACATTAAAACTGAATAAAATTGTTACAATGTAATTTTAACATTGCTTTAATTGTGGCGTATGTAAAAGGCATCACTTTAATCATTGTGTATGTGTGCGCCGTGTGCCTTCAAGTTGTTTGAGACTTTATGCTGACCCTAAGGCGTACCTATCACAAGGTTTTCTTGGCACATTTGCCATTGCCCTCCTCTGAGGCTGAGAGAGTGTGACATGCCAATGTCTCCCAAGTGGTTTCCATGGCTGAGCCAGGACTCGAACCCTGGTCTCCAGTGTCATAGTCCAACACACAAACCATTCTGAGGAGTGCATCTACACTGTAGAAACAATGCAGTTTGGCATCACTTTTGAGTGTGTTGCGTGCTTTCAAGTTGTTTGCAACTTTATGCTGACCGGAATTCGAACTTTATGCTGACCAGGGTTCAAATCCCCCCTCAAGCCCAAAAAACAAAACAAGACACCTTGGGCAAGTCCCACTCTCTCAGCCTCAGGACAAAAAAAAACTCTCTTGAACACATTTGGCCAAGAAAACCCGAGGATAGAGTTTCCTTAGGGTTGCTTGCCATAAGTCAGAAACGACTTTTGTCCCTAAACTAAACCGGGCAGAAAAAGGCGGGAAAAGCTGTGCAGCTTCTGCCTCTTAATTAGCAAAAAATGTGGGCTGCTTTTTTGCTGGAACTTTCCATTCATTAAAGAGAGGCGGCCTCTGAGCGCGCGCCTCGCTGACCTACTTTTTCTTCAGTGCCAGGCTCAGGAGCGCGCCAAGAGGAAAGCCCAAATAAAATAGAAAATAAAATTAAAAACTCCTTCAATGTGGAGGAGGGTGGCCCTCTTTGGAGGAGGACCAGCCTTGTTGGTCCTCCTTTCCCAGGACCTGTCCTCCTTTTCCAACTTTTCCGTCTCCAGGAAGAATGTTCAAAAAGTCTTCCTCCGTTTGGAGCATGAGGAAAAAGGATGCATTTATAATAGTTATAGGAGAGCCTTTTTAAAAGCTTTTATTTGTTGGTCGTGTCTTCCATTTTTCTTGAGTGTCCTCCATTTTTCAGTGTCTTTGGTTTTCAGAGTGACCAGGCGTCCTCTTTTTGAAGGGCCTGCCCTCCATTTCAACCTTTCAGTCCAGGAGAAATGTCCAAAAGGTCCTCCATTTGGAGCATGCATACATTTATAGATATAGGAGTGCCTTTTTATTTTATTTGTTGGTCATGTATTCCAATTTTTTTTTAGTGTCCTCCATTTTGCAGTGCCTTGTCCTCAGGGTGACCAGACTTGATCCTCCTTTTCCAAGGTTTGTCCTCCCATTCCTGGAGAAATGTCCAAGAGGTCCTCCATTTGGAGCATGAGGAAGACGCATGCATTTATAGTTATATGGGGGCTTTTTAGCTTTTCTTCGCTTGGTGTCATCCATTTTTCTGGAATGTCCTCCATTTTGCAGTGCCTTGTTCTCAGGGTGACCAGACTTGGTCCTCCTTTTCCAAGACCTGTCCTCCCTTTCAACCTTCTGTCCAGGAGGAATTCCAAAAAGTCTTCCAAGAAGCATGTATTTATAGTTCTATGACTGTTTTTAGCTTTTGTTTGGTCAGGCCCTCCATTTTTTTTCTGGAATGTCCTCTATTTTGTGGTGCCTTGTCCTCCTTTCTGGTGAGGACATCTGGTCGCCCTGAGGGCAACCAGACAGGAGGGTGACCAGATGTATCCTCTTTTTCGAGGACCTGTCCTCCCTTTCAACCTTTCTGTCCAGGAGGAATGTCCAAAAGGTCCTACATTTTGAGCATGAGGAAAAAGGACGCAGTTATTATATGAGTGTTTATTTGCTTTTATTTGGTCATTGCCTACATTTCTCTAGAATGTCCTCCGTTTTGTGGTGCCTTATCCTCAGGGTGAGCAGGTCATATGCCTACATTTCCACCTTCTTCTGTCCAGGAGGAATTCCCAAATGTCCTCCATTTCGAACAGAACTAAGAAACATGCATTTTTATAAGTGCTTTTAGCTTTTATTGGGGCATGTCCTCCATTTTCCTGGAATTTTGACTTTGACACCCCTTTTAAGGCTCAATGCTGTGGGAATTGTAGGTCTGTGAGACCTTTAGCCAGTGTGACCAAACTTGGTCCTCCTTTTCCAGGACGCATCCTCCATTTCAACCTTCTGTCCAAGAAGAATTCTAAAAAGTCTCTTCCATTTTGAGCTGGATTAAGAAATATTTATTTCTTTATTATTTACTGATTTCATTTGTTCTCCACCTTTCTCACAGAAAGGACCCAAGGCGGCTCACAAATATTTTTTAAAAAGACCTTTTTAAAAAATACAATAAAAATTAAAAACAATTACGTAAATATGTTAAATGGCTATTTTTAGCTTTTCTTTGGTCCATGTCCTCCATTCCCCACCCGGAATGTCCTCCATTTTGCAGTGCCTTGTCCTCCCTGGCAGTGAGGACACCCACTCCATCCTTGCATTTCGCCTTCTCTGTCTATCCCTGGGGCCACAGCAAACTACAACTCCCAGAACTGGGTATCAATGTGGGTTATATTCTGCAGTGCAGATCCAGCCTAAGCAGCATGAGTTTACATTTAGGAGAGTGTTTTTACCTGGTATTTGGGCCATGCCCTCCATTTTTCTGCAGTGTCCTCCATTTTTGCAATGCCCGGTCCTCCTTGGCCTTGAGGACACCCCAGTCCACCTTTGCATTTTGCCTTCTCTATCTATCCCTGGGACCACAGCAAACTACAACTCCCAGCACTGGTGAGCATTAAAATTCCTGGCAGTTCAAAGGGGTATCAAAAAGTGGGTTATTTCTGCAGAATTAATGCAGTTTGACACCGCTTTAACTGCCTGGGAGTTGTAGTTTGCTGCCTTCTCGGTTGGAAGTGCTACAAAACAAAGCTACATTTCCCAGAAGGGCTACAAAACAAAGCTACATTTCCCAAAAGTGCTACAAAACAAAGCTCCCTAGCATGGAGCCCTGGCAGTTCAAAGCAGTGTCAAAGTGGGTTATTTCTGCAGTGCAGATGCATTGCAGAGTCCTGGGAGTTGTAGTTTGCTGTGGCCCCAGCAAACTCGGAGGGAGAAAGCAAAATGTAAGGGTGACAGTGTGTCCTCATGGTCAAGGAGGACAAGGCCCTGCAAAATAGAGGACAGGCCAGGTGGAAAAAACATGGGGCAGGTGGGACCAAAGAAAAGCTAAAAATACTCTCATGAATGCAAAATTCATGCTTCTTAGGTCTAAAACACACTGCAGAAATAATCCAGTTTGAGGCCGCATTAATGCAAGGTTCGGTGAGACCATAGCTCCGGTCTCTTTCTCTCTCTCTCTCTCTCTCTCTCTCACACACACACAGAAAACTACAATTCCCATAATCCCCTAGCATTGAGCCCTGGCAGATAAAACGTGGGGTGCCAAAGTGGGTTATTTCTGCAGTGCGAATGCAGCCCTGGGCTTGGATTGAGGAAACTGGGCTCCAGGACTACACTGCAGAAATGATCCAGTTCGAGACTGCTTTAACTGCTTTGGCTCAAGGCTAGGGAATTCTGGGAACTGTAGTGTTTGTGAGCCTTCTCTGTCAGAGAGCTCTGGTGCCACAACAAACTACAATTCCCGGGATCCCCAAGCACTGAGCCAGGGCAGGCAAAGCATTCTCAAACTGGGTGCTTTCTGCAGGAAAGAGAGCTCTGGTGCCACAAGAAACTACAATTCCCAGGATTCCCAGCAAACTACAGATCCCAGGGCTCCCTAGCACTGAGCCAGGGCAGTTTAAAAAGCCCTTTCAAAGTGGGTCATTTCTGCAAAAAAGAGAGCTTTTGGTGCTAGAAAAATAATAATAATAATAAAAACTACAGCTCCCACTTTTGCACCTGGGTCTGCTAAAGAGGCTCGTGCACGCGCCTGCGCGTCCTCGTCCTGCCAGCATTGCACCATTGCAGCAGCAGCACCATTTGCATCTTCCAGGAATGTCCTCCATTGTGCGGTGCCTTGTCCTCCTTGGCAGTGAGGACTGCAATAATGGTGCTGCTGCTGGTGATGCTGCTGGGGAGGCTGGTGCTTCTCGTGAGCGCGCACTGGGGCGCGCTCCCGGGCTCCATTGACCCAGGAGGAGAGTCGGGAGCGCGCCTGGGCGATGATGATGCCAAGGGAGGGAGGGCCAACCCAGTGTGAGTGTGTCTGTGTGTCTGTGTGTGTTTGTTGGGGAGTTACACAACCAGTCAGGGCAGATTGCGCGCTGTGAATGTGAGTTTCCTCAAGTCAGCCAAAGCTCCTGCCTTTCTTTCTTTCTTTCTTTCTTTCTTTCTTTCTTTCTTTCTTTCTTTCTCTCTTTCTTTCTCTCTTTTTTTTCTCCTTCCTCCTTCTTTCTTAACCAACACTCTTTTTTTTTCTTTTCTTCCATCCCTCCTTCCTCCTTCCTCATTGCCTAAAAGCCCTCTCTCCCCTTTGGTTTTTCTCCATCCATTTATTATTATTATTATTATTATTATTATTATTATTATTATTATTTTGCTTGCTTGCAAAAGAAGAGACACAAAAGATGAGATGGGTTCATTCTCCAGGAAGCTGGCAAGGAATTGAGGACTCCTGCTTCTTCCCCTTCTTCTCCTCCTCCTCCTTCTTCTTCTGGTCACTCATCTCCTTCCAAAGGAAACCAGGTAAGTTTTCCCAACTGGATATATTTGTTTGGAATTATTATTATTATTATTATTATTATTATTATTATTATTATTATTATTATTATTATTATTATTATTATTTTCCCAACTGGATACTGTTGTTGTTGTTGTTGTTGTTGTTGTTATTTTCCCAACTGATACCTCTTTTTGGACTTGAATCTTTGGCAGCAGCTCTTTATGGGATGGATTGACTGAACCCTATCCACTTCTGAC